GGCTGGCTGAAGCCCGGCTGACTGAAAGCCGGTTTCTGGGGTTTTGTTTAGCTTCTATATTTGCAACATAGTTGCTTAGAGTTGCAGCTGAGAGGCCGGCAAGTTAGGCGGGGAACGTTGGAGTCCGCAGTCACTGGAGCAAGCAAGCCTCCCTGTTCGCTTCAGTGCATGGCTGCCGGCCGCCATCTTGGCTGACAGTTAATTTGCATAAGGATATGCTGATTAGCCAATGGGAAGGGTAGCGGTCGTACGCTAATTACCATGTTTCTCTTTTATTAGTGTAGATAGACTAGAGGCCCAGTGCACGGATTTGTGCACCAGTGGGGTCCCTTGGCCTGCCCAGTGGGGATTGGGCTGAAACTGGCAGCCCGACATTCCCCAGGGGATCCCAGAGTGCAACTCTGCAAAGTTGCTGCCACTCAGCAGCTCCTGTATTGAGCGTCTGCCCCGTCGTGGTCAGTGCATGTCATAGCTATCAGCCGGTTGGCCAGTAGCTTAGGCTTTTATGTATATAGATAAAGGGTCTAACCTTACACTTTTACTGAGTCACTGTGCTCCCCACTGGACTCAATTGAAAGAATCTGGGAAGGAGACAGGTGAACCAAAATGACAATACAAATGAACTGGCATTGTGCTGGGGTAAGTTCAGGATGCTGTGAAGAGCAGGGTACGCCTAATTTCTCTTGGAAGTATATCCAAAAGAAGTGAATACTCCTTAATGACCCAATCGTGATCTTTCTAAAATACAAACCTAACAATGGCATTTCCTTGCTTAAAAATACTCATTGACTGGCCCACATGACTCAGTGGTTGAGCATCAACCTATAAACCAAGAAGTTAAGATTCAATTCCTGATTAGGGCACATGCCTGGGTTGCGGGTTTGATCCCCAGTGGAGGGCATGCAGGAGGCAGCCAATCAATGATTCTCTCTCATCATTGAGAGAGAATCTCTCTCTCTCCCTCTACCTTCCTCTCTAAAGTCAATAAAAATATATTTTAAAAAATACTCATTGACTCAGTCTAAGGATTAAGTCCAAATTTCTTGGCCCTGATATTCAAGGCCTGTCATTTGCAACAGTGCCTAACGATTCCAGCCTTAACTTTTTCCTGCTCTTGTCCCCTCCCTCCTCCCCTTCCACCCTACCTCCCCATGCTCCTGAGATACTAAATATATCACTTAAACCCATCAGAATCTTTCCAAAGGGGAAGTAGGGGAAAGATAGCACGGTGTGAAGTAAGATGACTAGACTTGGGCAAGAAGAAAAAGGGACGGGGGCAGGGTGGAGAACCAGGGGATGGGAAGAGAGGAAGGGGAAAAAGAAGGGGAAGACTGAGGTGGGAAGGGGCAGAGGTGTTAGGAAGGAAATGGGATGAGGGTTTAGAGGTGGACACTGGAGACTACATACTTTTGGGCTTTGGCTTGGCTTTTGCAAGTCCTTGGGTCAGGATCTTGCCTGGAGCTGGGCGTGGGAAGTGTTAGCCCCGAGAGAGGGCAGGCTCTTGGTTGCGGATGAAACCCGGCTGCAGGGCGCTGTGGGCTGACCGGAGACTTGGACACCTGCAGAAATTTCCAAAGGAGCTCTAGCCAGGTCTGG